TGGTTTGGACATGTCCAGAGGAGGGACAGTGGTTTGGACATGTCCAGAGGAGGGACAGTGGTTTGGACATGTCCAGAGGAGGGACAGTGGGTATATTGGTAGAAGGATATTAGAAATGCAGCTGCAGGAAAAAGACAGAGGAGACATATGCATGCAGTTAGAGAAGACAGAGGTAGTTGGAGTGAGGACAGAGGACACAAAGGACAGAGTGAGGACATGATGAGTACAGAGAGAGGATAGAGGACGCAGAGGACAGAGTGAGATGGAGGAGGATGACATGTGGCGACCCCTGAAAAGGGAAAAGCCAAAACAAGAAGAAGAAGAAGAAGATGATCAATGTCAAGGTTCTTTATTGTCTTTCCACCACATGTACCACATGTGGTGGAAAGAAATTGTGTACACAGGTTCCCAGTTACATCTAACAAAAGAAAAAGACAATTCCAAATTTAGAGTCTGTGACATCAACTGTCCTTTGACCAGTATATATGATAACATCTTTGAGTCATCAAACTAAAAGTGTGATTGTATAAAGACTGTAAAAATGAAAACCCATCAAACCCTGTGAGGACTGTGGTTCCTCTTGTGGTCTGTCCTGCTCTCCTCAGTTATTCTTCCCGTGTTCAGTCCTGTCACACCTGTCAGTAAGTCCAGTCACCCCAGGTGTCTCTGTCTCGTCAGTGTTTCAGTATACAACTGTGTCTGTGTGCGTCGTCGTCTGGGAATTGTCCTGTTCTGTCCTCCCTCTGTGTTTTCTTGGAAATCTAAGTGTTGCTGCCACATCAGCATTTGCTTTTGTTATTTAAATAAATTATTTATTGATACTTTGAGCTCCCAGAGTTCTGTCTGCACCTGGGCCCAACTGCACCACAGAACATGATAACCCAAACTTTCCGTGAATCATTTAACCTTTGAATGATGTTTCAACATTAACTATGTATGATCTATAAAGGTCCAAAGAGGACTGGGTTTGCTCAGGTGTTTCACAAAATCCCATTGATCTCCATTTGATTTTTCTTGCTCATTTTGTCTATGTTGCATATCTGTACCAAATATGGCACACTCCTCTTGACTGAGCTGTTCTGATGCATATTTTAGGTTTTACTTCAAAGCTGCAGGCTGAGACTGGGCTTTTAAAGAATAGTAATAAGGGTGCTTCAGTGCTCCTGCTTGGCACCTTAAAAACACTAAATCAACTCACATTAGCATAAAATATTTTTGCACATTAGTTGTGTTTCTCCTTTGTGTTAACACTAATCACAAAAGTCAACAATGAACACAAGTGGCAGAAAAATATGTGAAAATGACTGTTTTCCACACAGTGGGAGAGGAATTAAAGAAAAGCTGTGATATGAGAGACATGTAAGAAAGAAAGAGCTAAATTTAAACAACATGATTTCTCATTGGTCTGAAAATATGAACAGGACAAGCCAACTCCTTTATTTCTTTTTCTGTTTTGAAAAAAACTGAACACCGCAGCAGGTCACATTATTTGAACCGTATTGTCTAAAAATATCCTAGTTGCTGTCAAGTTAAAAATAAATATAAGGTATCTTCAAGAAAACTCAAACACGTCTGATGTGCAGCAAATGATAACAGGAGGCATCGTTTCAACAAAGAACTAACCAAATATGGCCTAAAGCTGCCAGTTCAAGCTGTTCCCGAGCGATCAACACTTCAAGCTGTTCCCGAGCGATGAACACTTCAAGCTGTTCCCGAGCGATGAACACTTCAAGCTGTTCCCGAGCGATGAACAGTTCAAGCTGTTCCCGAGCGATGAACACTTCAAGCTGTTCCCGAACGATGAACACTTCAAGCTGTTCCCGAGCGATGAACACTTCAAGCTGTTCCCGAGCGATGAACACTTCAAGCTGTTCCCGAGCGATGAACACTTCAAGCTGTTCCCGAGCGATGAACACTTCAAGCTGTTCCCGAGCGATCAACACTTCAAGCTGTTCCTGAGTGCTGCATGCTTGGTCCCAAACAATGAACAATCCAACATGCATCAACTGTAAGTTGAAAAATGTTGGTAAATTACGAAGTAGTCATCTGTAAATTTCGAAGCTCTTGTTTACTGAGTGTAGAAGGCAAAATGTGGGAAATCATCTGTTCGCCTGTCTGGGCGTGTCCATGAGCAAAGCAGATGCACCTGTACCAGCTGACTCGGTCGCCTTTAGAAAATACAACATGGTGATAGCTTGATTAGTTTCACAGTCAGTGAGCTACACTGTGCTGTGGCAGTAGACGAGTCATTCACAACAACGCACAGGTTTGCACGTTACGTTCTTTTCAAGGGTTGACCAAGTTGGCGACACCTCTCTCAGTTCTCAACATAAGATGATCTTGGTTTGAAATTTGCATGAAAGGCAGCAACGTGCGTCTTGTCAAGGGACACAAGGACTTAAAGTAATCATGCTTTGGCTTCGCCTGGGAACAATTCAAGTATATTAGATGATTTTCAGCTTAGTCTGAATGAAGAGGTTTTTTATTTTATTTAAAAGTCAAAATGTTCTGAATGAAACATTTTTTGTGTTTGGAGGTTATGATGTCTGAGACATGTTGGGGTAAAATGTCAGGGGTCTAAAAATATCTATTTTTATTAGCAAATAGAAGAGGCCTTAATACTAAAACTGTAGTTTTCCTTCTTTTAGTGATTGTTTTCAACATTCTTGTGTAATCATGCATTTGCCTGCGAGCACGTTTGTGTTTCAGCAAACACAAAAATGGCTCTAACATCAAATGTTGCAGCTACTAAGCTAAAACTTGGGATGGTAGTAGCTGAGAGTCCTGTCCAACTTCTATGCAAACCGATCATAGAGATCTCTTCTGCCACTATCAGAGTAAACTCTGCTCATCTGTCCAACATCTCACGAACCACTGGAGGGTTTAACAAGAATGAGGTTCTACACATCACTGCCTGGCTGCACATCTGGACATGATGAAGAGCAGCTATCGAACTGAGGAGTAACGGTGACGGCAGATATGTATGTAGGTATGTATATATACACACACACTATGGAAATAGTATGTGCATTTTAGCTTATATTACTACCTTGAAATACTTATTCATACAAATGCATCCTGTTTGCACTGTTATATTCTACCATGCTGTTGTTTAACATTACTCTTTAGGACCTTGTAAATATTATATTTAATCTTTGAACTTGGTGGTACTTAAATGTGTACCCTTATTGCATGTTTTAGTACTCTGTTTGTTCTTTGGTTTTTAGCGAGTCAAATCCATTCTTCTCATCCTGAGCATGTCATTGTTGACCTGCGTATGACAAATACACACAAGATAAACTTGAACATGGTGTAGGCAGGGCCTGTCGCCCGTCGTCACACTAAAGGCTGGATGAGAGGCGTCTGCAGCCAGGACACCAGGTTAGACATTAGATGGAGAACGTCAACAGGCACCAGTACTGCTTTGTGTAACTCTGAGTTCTGATGTGTTGAGTTGAACTGATGCTGAAAGCCGTATTTTACCTGGAAACGCAGGATGATGGTCCATATGAGCCCCAGGATAAGGCGATGATTGCCGTCGACAATGTCATGGGAGCCCATGTTCTCCAGGTGAACCCTCTGCTCTTTGAGAAACTGCAGGGCCTTGTCCACATTTTCCAAACAGTGGATACGCATTCGGCCTTTAGTGGGTTTCGGCTACGGAGGAAGCAAAAGTGAAAAAGTAAGCAGAGGAGAACGTGTCAAAGAGTGACCACAGGGAGTGTGGGGTGTTAAAAAGGTATGAAAGAATCAGGGACGCTCAGGAACACACCAGTCGTTCTCCTGACAGCACCTCCAGCAGTTTGATGAGCATGCGTCCATCCCGCAGGTCCAGGTACAGATCGGAGATGCGACAGCCAACTCGGGACAGGATTGAGTTGACCCATTTTGTGAAGGTCTTCTTCTGCACTGCCTCACGCTCATCTGATGAAGGTACACGGTTACAACATGAGTTTCAGGAGTAATGCAGAGTCCTTACAGCTGCAGAGCAACGCCACTAACGAGGTTAGTTTACGTCACTTTATCGGACAAGATCTTTTCCACACATTTAAAGATATCTGACAGTCAGAGAAAAGTTGTTGGGGTTTTAGAGACGAACAAAAAGTGAAGCCGTGCACCAGACCGTGGGGGGGACTCGACCGCCACGTCACCTGGAACCAGACCCGTCCTGTGAAAACATTACAGCTGAGCGGCCACTTCCTGAAGTCACAACACGTTCGTGGTTTGCATGGATTCATTCAATCTCTCAACTAGAGACAAGCTTGGATAACGCAAGGACATGAAAGGTAGCTACTGTTCAAGGCAGACCAACACTGGTTAGACAAGGACTTTAAATCATGTTCTCTGCTATTTCATGGGAAAACCAGAGACGTATTAAGATAAAACTGATCAGTTAGTCACAATATGAAATGTGAACCAGGAGGTTAGAAAACAAGCAGGAGGTCCAGATGATCTGGCACATTTCTAAGACTTACCAACGTAAAGCAGAAATACCATAATGTTAGTGTATAGTATGTGGCTATATCATCAATAGCAGTGTTTGCATAAGTATAAAATGTACAACAATTTACAAAGCAGGCCAAGTTTTACAACCTTTTGTGCCATATTTCTAAATATTTTCAACCAAGTTCACTAGTCTAACAAAAAGTTAAGTCTGGTCCTCTGGACATTCAAATAAAAAGAAATGTAGAAAGGTTTCGTCTCCCATCCTGAGGACTTCCTCAGTCTGAGGTGCTGTATTCAGCTCGGTCTCTTAAATAGAACCTTCACAGAGTGGATCAACCAGTTTGCTGCTGACAACCAGAACCAGCTGCTCACATGCTCAAGAAGGAAACTTGATTCAGACTGAGGAAGTCATTCGGATGAAAGACGAAACGTTTCTACAATGTTGTTTTTTTTATGTCCAGAGGACCAGATTGAACTTTTTGAGATTTTCTACCTGGATTATTGAGCAGCATCAGGACAAGTTCACTAGTCTTTATGAAGTCAACGTATACTACATTAATGCCAACCGATTATGGATGCATTAGGGCAGAAAATGTGCTTTTTACAAACTTTTGGTTCTGTCCATAGTAAAACGGTGACATTTACAATTTTGACATTAATTATTTGGGCCATCATCCTTTTTAAGCCCCGTAGCTTCAGTTTATGTACAACCAAGCTAAAATAAGCAGAACACGTTTCCCTTCAACATTAAATAGGTTGTAGGTTTAAGTACTCGGTGCACATGAAACTGGTAAAACAAGTGTGTTTTGTCCAGTGGCAGCTCAACGACAACGTCCTGGCAGGGGTCTGGTCCCAGACGACTCGGTGGTGCAGTCTCCTCGCGCTTCGGTGCATTTCTTCCTCGCACGTGTTTTGGGGCGTTGACTGTTTGTAGCAGTTTTTTGTTGCATGTTTTTATTGTTTGGTTTTGTGTGTGTGTGTGTGTGTGTGTGTGTGTGTGTGTGTGTGCGTGCGTGCATCATTCACGTGTTTGCAGAGCATTTTGCCGTTCGTTTGGATGTTTGCGGCTCGTTTGCACCTGCTGGCCACCGTAAAAAAACAACACACATTTGCATCTCAGTAAATTGTGTGAACATACAAATGATAAAAAATAGAACAATTACAACAAAATACAATAAATTAGGACAGCTATATAAACATGATTCCCATCATATCTTTCATACAGATGGACACGTTCATTAACCCTAACCTTTACTAAGTTTTATGAGTTTGACTCTAAGACACTTTGTAAGTTCAGAACCAACTTAAACGGGTCATATCCATGCATCCTGGTTATCTGGGTCTCAGATCACTTCTTACTTTGCTTTCTGTCGTGGGGGTCTTTAAGAGCATTCTGGCCTCAGTCCAGTTGTCTCCCGTCTCAGTTTAGATCTTGTCCAGTCTGTCTTTTTGTAAATTGGGGGCGTTTTGAGGATCCTCTGGTAACTGCTGTTTAGTTCCTGGGCCTGTTCTCCTTCACCTCCTCAGTGTTTGTGCAGTGAGTCTTTCACTCACACCTGTCCCCACTCAGGAATCACCCAGGTGCCTCCACTTTCCACTGACCCCTGCTGTTTCAGTGTCTGTGCCACCATTCACCAGTTCAGCATGGTTGGTCATCTGCCATGATCCCAGTCTTTCCATTATGTTTTCCTTCTGAGATCTGTGTTCCTGTGCTTAGCGTGTATCTTAGATCCTTATTTACTGGTTTTTACACTTTATATTGCTGGGTGTAACTGGGACCCTGTGAACATGATGTCATTCCACCACATGTACATGTGTGGTGAGATGACAATCAACACACTTGGACTTGAAGAACACTTTAAACATATATTCCCATGCACATCTCAGGTTATCAGGTCTCAGGTAAGACGTTCTTTCCTCGGTCGGCCTCCCTGCTGCACACTTCAGAGTGCAAAGGACTGAATTCACAAAGACTTGAGTAATACAATGATTGAGTCCAAGGTTGAAGAAAACAATCAGAAGAGAAAAGAAAATGTTGGCCGAGGAGGGAAGGTATTGAACTTAAGTTGAGCTGGGAGAAAAAGAAGAAGTCGGATGGAAAAAGGGAAAGCTGGTCTGGACAAAGTAAACGTGAAGACACTAAGCATACTGTCAGAGAAACAAAGTATAGCCAGCTCCTCCCCTGCTGCTAAAAACCTCCCAGTAAGCTGCTCCAGCTGAACTCTCACTTTCAAGCAGAAGAAACGCTGTGTGTAAAACACGAGCTGCAGCAGCAAGGTGCAGTAAATAAATCATGCCTCACAATGCTCCCCTCAGCAGAACAACAGCTCCGCTGCATCCGCACCGATACCCACAGCATGAAAAAGTCATGGCAATTACACATGCAAATACCTCAAAGCTGCATTAGCAGCTGGAACTCTGACAGAGGAGCCAACAAGGAGCGCGACAACTCCTGCCTGAATTCAGAAAACTTTACAGCACTGCCAGTGAGAGGCAGCTGCACGACATCGTCTCCATGGTGTCTCCACAGCAGCACCTGGGACCTTCAGGAGGGGCGGCACGCTCACCTGGAGGGTCCTGTCCCTTCCACACATCTCACTGACCTGCAGCCGACAGACGCATGTGCAGCCGACGGACGCATCTGCAGCCGACGGACACAGCTGCAGCCGACGGACACAGCTGCAGCCGACGGACACAGCTGCAGCCGACGGACGCATCTGCAGCCGACGGACGCATCTGCAGCCGACGGACGCATCTGCAGCCGACGGACGCATCTGCAGCCGACGGACGCATCTGCAGCCGACAGACGCATCTGCAGCCGACGGACACAGCTGCAGCCAATAAACACATCTGCAGCCGACAGACGCATCTGCAGCCGACGGACGCATCTGCAGCCGACGGACGCATCTGCAGCCGACGGACGCATCTGCAGCCGACGGACACAGCTGCAGCCGACAGACGCATCTGCAGCCGACGGACACATCTGCAGCCAACAGACACATCTGCAGCCGACGGACACATCTGCAGCCAAAAGACACATCTGCAGCCAATAGACACATCTGCAGTCAAAAGACACATCTGCAGCCAATAGACACATCTGCAGCCAATAGACACATGTGCAGCTGATGGACACATGTGCAGCCGATGGACACATCTGCAGCCACATCACTGTCTTAGTTGTTGCTGTGGCTGTTGGCAAGAGTTGTATAAATGAAGTAGTACTACAAAAGACGAGTTGTATAAATGAAGTAGTACTAAAAAAGACGAGTTGTACAAATGAAGTAGTACTACAAAAGACGAGTTGTACAAATGAAGTAGTACTACACAAGACGAGTTGTAC